TATCTTTATTTAAACTTGGTGTTTGATTGGTCTCGTGCCAAAAACAACAAACTTAGATTTTGTCAAATTTAGTGATAGTTTATTTCTGTCAAACCAGTTTTTTAATATGTTTAATTCATTTTCCACAGTTTTCAGGGGCAATTTCCCCTCTTTCACGTGCAGCTTTTAGTTACTGAAGCAGTTCTTTTCTTTTTTGACGTACGGCATCTGTGTAGTCTTCGTTAATGTAGATTTTGGTACCTTTTAAATATTTTGCTCTCTGTAGAATCATTGTTTTGTCCTTACATTTTTCAAATGTCACTACTACTGGCCTTGGTCGAGGTCTTCCCGATTCGTACCTCCCCATGCGGTGGGCTCTTTCCACCTCGATTGTCTCCTTTAGCTGCAGTTGCTCCTTGAAGATTTTTTGCACTTTTTGCTCCGTTTCGGTCCAAGTTTCTCCTTGTAGTTCCTCAATTCCATCGATTATCAAGTTGTTTCTTTTTGATTGTCCCTCTCAGTAGTCCATCTTGTCAGTTAATACAAGCAAACTGTCACATACTTTGTATATTTCAGTTTGCATAGTTTTACCGTGGTCAGTTTGATTCATTTGCTGTTTTTTAATGTCATCAACCTCCTTTTGGGTGAAATTGATACTGGTTTTCAGTTCTTGTACTTCTCTGGAAAAACTGTTGAGTCGCGAGTTTGTTGAGTCGAGTATCAGCTTTACAAATCCTTTTAAGTGATCCTGTTGTTGCTGCATGAGCGCTATGAAAAGTTCTTTTTGTTGCAGGAGTAGTTCATTGACTTGCGTGAGAGTCATCAATTCTTCGTCCTGCTTTGCATCCTGTCCCCGTTTAGGCGGCATCCTTCGGAATTCGTTGCTAGCCGGCTGTCAGCTAGTTGTTGACGTGTGCTGTTGTCTTTCTGCCAACCCGGATGTTGTTGACGTGGCAGTGGGCCAGTGACCTCCCCCACAGCCGCGGTGTTCGTACTCTTCACATGGTTCAGATGACGATAGTGAGCAGAGAGTTTTAAATGACAGTTGATGCAGATGTGGATATGTTTTCATTTCCAATATTCTAAAGGGTCTTGGTTTCTGGGTGTGTTTGCTTCTGACAGGCAGCGTTGGACTTCAATTATGGAGGATCTCGCAATTATAAGATAAAATGAATAAAGCAACTGTAAGGCTCTTTAACTGACTATCATATGTATAACAGGTCATTCACTTGATAAACTGATAAAGTGGGTGCAATGCGCCACCGTAAAACAATTGTATATAACAGTAAACAATGCTGAAAGAAGAAAAAGATTTACCAAGATCAAAATTATTCCACACTAGGGAAAACTTAGAACGATCCATAATTTCGCAAAACTCCAGCCAACAAACCCACGTGTTAATACAGTTTGTGTCCTTATAAACACACTTTGGCACAGCACATTCAAACGATTCAGTTCCTGTATTGGTCACGTGATTCTTTCTTAAAGCAATACACGCACCGTTGCGGGGTTTCACTCTTGAGCTCTCGGCATTGTGGTGACGCACCAGTGTCGCTCGTCCCATCACTAACATGTAGAGTAGTTGAAGTTTAAAGAGATATAAGATTAAGCACAACTTTAATATAGATTCTACATGTTTACACCTTTGTCTCAATAAAATCACAAATAACACAACAACAGTTTTCTATTCAGTTTGAATTATTCGTCTTTTTGTTTCAGCGTTGGTTCATGTTGCAGCCATGCAGCAGCAATCATGTTTAAGGTGGACATGGCAGTGAGACTGGGCCTTTCCGCTTCAGCCTGCACGTCACGATCCTGTGCATGGAATGACATGTCTAGAAAGAAAGTGGAACCAGTAGTTGAAGAAAGTTAAGAGAACTGGAAAAACATCCTGTGCAACGTCATTCAGCAGGATATCCAAAGACAGCATTGTGGTAACTCGGGGTGAGTCACATAATGAAGCAAAGATGTCTAGGTAATTTGCTGAAAATAGATTGCAATAGCAATATCCTAACTCAACCAAATGTGAATAATGATACACGCATATGAAACAGGCACTTGTACTCAACATGTTAAATGTAGCATGTTTCAAATGCTTTTATTCATGATTATATATCTTATTTCATATTTAGGGATATGTTCCGCCATCGCCGCGTCCCAGTTGCGGCTAGACAGACAGATAACTCCTTCAATGACCACACCGTTGAAATTTCTTGAAATTTATTCACAGGCGAGTCAACAAGGTGTAAAACAGACAAACATACAAACACTTACACGATGTTGCAACGTAAAACGTGGTAAAACAATGGGCCTCACTTGTCTGAGCATGACTAACGCGTGACTACGCTAGTGTTGCTAACGTTCGCGAACTAATCAGCTAATTGCTATTGTAAATGCTAACTAAACAATTGGAACGCCCCACAAATGTAAATATACGGCGAACACACCCCACTAATTAGCAATGTGACAGACATTTACAAAAATAAATTTACATACAGGCTGTGCTTGGCCTACGACAAGAAATTGCAGTACGGTTCCCCGCGCAACTTGAAACAGGAAGTGTCTCACGCGACAACATCCGGTGTGCCCTTCACAATAAGCTGCTTGTGGAGGCTCTCAGTCGTACAGGAAAGTTCCATCGTAGAAAGGGTTCCGTCAGTCGTCATCTGTACCTGTGGGTAAAAAACAAAAGCAAAAAAGGAAGCTCACAGAAGCTTCCGAAGCTTCGAAACGTCCTTTAGCTTCTGTGAGAGAAGCGAAACGTCCTTTTTTGTTTTTGTTTTTTACCCACAGGTACAGATGACGACTGACGGAACCCTTTCTACCCTTCACAATAAGAAATTGGCTTTACAAAATAAAGCAGCTTTGCAACTAGAGCAGTGTTTTTCAAACCTTGTGCCGCGGCACACCAGTGTGCCGCAAGACGTTGTCAGGTGTGCCGCGGGAAAATAAATATCCAATTTGTATGCCTGTGCAGTGTATCGCCCAGAAAGTAATTGTTTAGTACCCTCCCATACCGCTAGGGAGCAGCAACAGCTAGCCAATTGCCTTGTGTTTCGACGAGAGACAAGCGAATTTGTGAGGCATGAATGAATGCAGGACGACGGTGAAACAATAAATATGAAAGATGAGAAAATACTTTTTTCTTTGTGTTCATTTGATTCCAATTCAAGCTGTTATAATGTCATTTTTCAATGCTAAAAACGGTTATAGTAACAACATAACACATTCATTATTCAAATAAGCGTTTATTGTTCACATTTTCAGCTAGTGGTGTGCCGTGAGATTTTTCCAGTGAAAGAAGTGTGCCTTGGCTCAAAAAAGTTTGAAAAACACTGAACTAGAGAAACATAAAACAAACGTTACATGGCTCTTCAGGAGCCAGAACAGGATAACCGACGAACACTTAAACTTGCTGAGATCAATTACACCAAAAGCTGCAGTTCTCACGGGCATTTATTCACATGAGGACTCCACAGACAGAAACACTGCTTCAGAGTGCAAAGACTGTATTCCTGAGCCAGTTACAACTTTGGATGAAGAGTCAGCATGTGATCTCACACCTGAAGAACTTTCATCGAAAGTTGACCAGACATTGCTCTGTTGTGATGGAGGGAGCTGCACAATCAACGGGTACAGGTTGATAGTCTGTAAAATAAATCATATCACATACATATCCCGGTATATTAAATTTTTAACTGTGGGCTTCTTTGTTTTGTTTTGTTATTACCAAATGAGTGGACATTACAGTTTTTTCAGACGACTTACAAGTTACTTGTAAATGAAGGCTCACGAAATTCAACCGACGGGAGCGGCTTTATTGGAAGTAGAAGCTGCCAGTCTTCTTGGGATGGCACGGCGCAGATGTACAACACTCAGACTCAAGCGATGACTGAGCTCAACCGCAACTGGATGCGGTTTCGGAGCGTCTCCGTATGATGGTTATCAACTGGAGAAGTTGAATCTGCGCTTCGGAAAGTAATGGCGGATTTGGCTGATCGGCGCCAGTGAAGGTATACAGCCATGGACTCAAGGCCACCTGAAATTGTTGGCGGCCGTCCCTCCAAAACAAACAACGCTATTTGGAATCTTTCCCCTGGATGGAAGTACGTACGGAAGCTAGTGACCTCACCATCGCCCCCTCCTTCTCGCCCATGGACTGATAAGCCGGGACTGTCTCCATGAGCAGACTTTGACGAAGCAGCTGTGGCCTTTACCCACACACAACCAGACTATCACACGCGCATACACATCCTTATCATCAACGCCTTCATTGTTCCTGGATTTTCCCCGTGATGTGACCTGATCTGCTGTGCGCTGAATGGACTGGCAGCACGCCGGTTGGGCCGCGTCGCGCTCCACCCCACCCCCACCAACCGCCCCCTCATTACATGTTATGTCTTTTGACTTGTTGTAACTGTCATATGCTTTGATGTGCATCGGTGTGATGTGCATTTTTTTTCTCCTAGACTTAAATTATCCTCATGTAAGTTGAGGGATTCGTTGTTTTTCAGTGGATGGCTCTTCTTTACGAATGACAGATGGAGAGATGGAATCCTTTAATGCAGTTTTAAAAAAAGGAGAAAAAAAAGAACGTCTGCACCTCCGAACGGATTAACGAGAACACCCCACCCTTTCAGTCACGAAAACACTTCCTGCTTCTCTTTGGCCAATCAGACGCAAGCAACATAAAAATGTTTCAACAATTATTAAACAGAATATAATTTAGATAACTATAACATAAAAGATTATAATGCTCAAATATAAAATGAAAATAATTGACAATTAGACATAAGCTTACACTCAGAAGAGGATAGTTCGAGCATGTTTTTTTTCCCTTTTCTTTCCCTAATGTTTACTTTCTAAGATCTCGGGGCACTGTACATACGGCGAGTACCGACAGGCCCTTCGCACTGTATCCCATGTTCCTCATTGTTTTTCAAGTTTCTTGTGCAGAGCGTGCCTGTTCAGTCCAATTACCCCATAGGGATAAATAAAGATTCCTGAATCCGAATCTGAAGCGAAACTTTCTGCAGCTGTCATAGTATCTTCATGGTCGGCATTGATATCTGTGGAAAAAAAAAAATATTTCTATGCTTGTGTGTGTTTATAACCTGATGCATTGATACAAGTTTTTCAATTTGGTGTTCATACATCAGTCTATACTTTATTTTTCTTCAGTCTATACTTCTTTATTTTCAAGACAAACTATAATTCTGCTGGGTTTTACAGTTTTACCTTGCAAGTTTTGAGTGTCCACTTGGTGAAACAGCTGCTGTATACGAAAATACAGATGGAACGAAATCTGGACTACAATGTTCCAAGGATGCTTTTCCTGTCAAATTTAAGGATTTAAATCATAGGTGTCAAACTCAGGTCCTGGAAGGCCGCTATCCTGTATGTTTTCCAAGTCTCCCTGTTGCAACACACCTGATTCAAATGAACAGGTTCAATGTCAGAGCTTCCGCAGAGCTTGCTGATGATCTGATCATTTGGATTAGGTGTGTTGCAACAGGGAGACTTGGAAAACATGCAGGACAGCGGCCCTCCAGGACCGGAGTTTGACACCTATGATTTAAATCAGGGGCCCCCAACCTTTTTTGCCCCACGGACCGGTTTATGTCAGACAATATTTTCAGGGACCGGCATTTAAGGTGTGGTGCAAATAATACAAGAAATTAATATGGTATGAGCTGCATGAAAACTGTGGTGTTTTCGAAATATAATAATAAACACAAGGAGCGTCTAATCTGGCCGAAACACTCCGATCGCTATGGCAATGTTTAATGCCTTCAAAATACGATACAATGCAAATTCAAAGTGCATGAAAATGACGACTCACCACAGCACCGAGCTTGATTTTCTGCAACCAGACGGTCCCATCTCGGGGTAAAAGGAGACAATGACACCTCAAGTGTGTGGTTTATGTCCAGTCTACTTCGTAATTTTGTTTTCGTCGCCGTTGCTGCAGAAACCCCCCGCCTCACACAGGTAGGATGTCGGAAATAGCAACAGTGCTATTGTGGCGATCTCAGAGTATTCAGCCATAACTTTAATCCAGTTGTCTCGAACGTACTTTTAAGGCCGCCGTGATTTGCGATCTCCAGCAGTTTTTTTTACTAATTTTGCGAGCTTCTGCGTTTTGTTTTGAAGTAATCGGTCACGTGATGGAGAAGCGTGGCTTGACGTGTGTCAAGCGTGACACAGACGGATGTAACGGAGAATCCGGTAGTTTTTCAAAATAAAATCATATTTCGTATTCCGAAATAAAACTGAATTAAGACAAGTTCTTTCTGTGCGGCCCGGTACCAAATGCCCGGCGGACCGGTACCGGTCCGCGGACCGGCGGTTGGGGACCCCTGATTTAAATGATAAATATGCAGTGAGAAATATATATGCGCACATACACACACACACGCGCGCGCGCGCGCACACACACACACACACACACACACACACACACACACACACACACGAAGCATGTTTTTATCATTTGCCGTTAGTATGGCTGTATATGTTTGTGTTAAACATGTGCATGAAGTATTGAAGAGTTACTTCCCACACAAATTGTAAACACGTTTGACTGTAAAGACTACATATCAACTGCTTCACTCATGCTATACTGTACTTCATTATTTTCACTCATTTGTTACTTTCACTAATTGAATGTTATTCTGGGCTTTCACAGAATAATAATAGAATATAATTTGACATGCTCCACCTAACTCACAAGTACTTACCAGATATGAAGTGGGCACTGCAAAGACGAACAGTATTAATTGCCTCCTCAGACCAATTCTCACGTCTAAAGCTTGTAACCATAACTTTTGCCGTTTTTTTCTGAAAGGGTGTTTACTAGCAGGAATTCTATAAAAGACTAGATCTCTGTGTGTGCTCTTTCTGATAACCCACAGCACAGCATGAGCACACCATTACTCACACCATTTTGTTCTGTTCAGCGTGTGTTTTCCGCCTCCGAGATTTGCGCGCAGCCAGACTTAATGTATACATACGTCACATGAAACTAGTCTATACATATACACATACCCTCACCGGCCACTTTATTAGGTACACCCTGCTAGTAACGGGTTGGACCCCCTTTTGCCTTCAGAACTGCCTCAATTCTTCGTCGCATGGATTCAACAAGGTGTTGGAAGCATTCCTCAGAGAGTTTGGTCCATATTGACATGATGGCATCACACAGTTGGCGCAGATTTGCCGGCTACACATCCATGATGCGAATCTCCCGTTCCACCACATCCCAAAGATGCTCTATTGGATTGAGATCTGGTGAATGTGGAGGCCATTTGAGTACAGTGAACTCATTGTCATGTTCAAGAAACCAGTCTGAGATGATTCCAGCTTTATGACATGGCGCATTATCCTGCTGAAAGTAGCCATCAGAAGTTGGGTACATTGTGATCATAAAGGGATGGAC